AGAAGGGGCTTTTCATCACACGCTCATGATCTCATCCGAGAACCCGCATTTACGTGGCTCCCGAGCCCCCCGTCAGGTACCCCGTCAAGGGCCCGTCAGGAAGGCTCAAGGGAGGGTTCTATCCAAGTTCTAGAATGCCATTAGAAGGTTGAGCTTAATCCCACGGCAACTAGGGGGGCAGAAGAAATCCCCATTCTCCAAGGGGATTACTGCCACAGCTCAGGGTTTTGTCATCCCTTTTTTCTTTTTTTTAAATTAGGAAACCAAAAGTTGCGCGCGCGCGCGCGCAGACAGGTATCGGGCTACGGGCCATGGCTAACGGCAACGGGAGCCACTTCCATTCCCAACTACCGGGACGTTTGTTGACTAGCAATCTCTCTGATGAGATTACAGCCTCTCATCAATGTTCGGTCTCGCGGAGCCGCTTGTTGCTGTACTGTTACAACGGGTTATTATGCTCAGCCCGGCAGACATGCAAGCGCCTGGCCGAGATAGAATTGCGACGTCTAGAGCCTGGCAGGTTGGTCGTCATCCCCGCCTCAGATTCTCTCCCCTTCTCCCAGCCTCGTGCAATTCAGAAAGACGCAAGTTAGGATGGACTTCTCTTTTCAGCCTACTCAGCGGCATCTGGTGATGTTTGGCCCGTTTCTGGGGTGCAGGAGTGTTTATGCAACGGAAGCTGAGTCCCTGTGGCAAGTGCCATAAAGCAAACGGTTTGCCGGTGGGCTGGGGGAAGAAGAAGATGGTGGGGAGGGGAAGGCCTCGTTTGCTTTGTTTCGATGCAAAATCCCCGTGGTGTGTGTGCCGTTCTTGTCTTACATTTTTGAACATTCTTTGATGGTATGGAGTAGTTTATGTTGTGATACACAATGCCCGTACACTTCTTGACTACCAGTTCCGGCCAGCCTCTCTGTGCTGTGTCTTTCACACTTTCCCCAGCGGCTTTTTTTTTGGACCAAATAGCAATATGAGGTAGTCTTTTGCTAACAATATGCAAGATCACGCTTCTAGGCTTTCCCCCCGGTGTCTCGACTCTCAATAGGATGCAGCAGCTACCCGGGGACCGAATAGAGGAATGTTGTGGCTTTCCGTTGGGCGCCGCGTTCTGCCTGTCCTACATCTTTCACGTGGCCGGCAGACATTCTTCTCTCTATCCTTCCGTATCACCGCGATGTTGTGGGTGTCACCACTTGGGGGCTTTTCGACCAATGGGCGGGAAAGATGCCATCTTCCTTTGCTCTCTCGCGAGTAGGAACACATTACACGCACACGCACACGCACACACACAACGAGATTTTGTGCCGTGGCATGAAGCCATGTGGTGCTCGAGTCTCACAATGGACACAAACGAAGTTTTAGGCTGTGGCGAAAACTTATCTCCACGGCGTCGCTGCTTGACAGCTTACTGGAGGGAGGAAGCCACGCCATTGCCATGCCATGCAATGTCCAAAGGTAGACTGGCAAAGACAGGTAGGTTCCGCTCTTCTGGGTGCGAGCTAAATGTGCCGTGGCATCCACGCATCTTGGACCAGCCGCTAAACCCCCTTTTTCTCCTTGTCCGTCTTCGAGGAGACGGCTTTTGGCGTTTGGACCAAGAGATTCACTAGAGAATCATCACAATAACCACTTCTGCTATCCCACCGTGCCCGCCTACCTGGGCATTAGGATAAGTCCTCTGGACGCGGGGCTTAGGAACCGTAGTCCCGGGTTGAATGTGGTGTTTTTTTTTTTTCGTTGCTTCTAGGCTAAAGGTAGCTGACGGCGGCGGCTATCAGAGTCTAGACCAGCGTAGCATAGATGGGTTTCTGTCGGTGTTGGGTATACAATACATTAGCCTCGGCTGCCCGCGAGAAGGGGAAGAAACAAGAACAAAAAATCGCCTGCCCGGTTTTAGGAATGCATCGTTGCCCGTTTCTGACCTGCTATTTCTTGCGCTGCTTGAGCCTCTAATGGCCTGATTGTCTGATCCCATGTAGGTAGGTGCCGTAGTCACAGGCATGGAGACGTTCACGTGGCTCAAGGAAATGGGAGGAAAGCGAACTTGTCCGGATTCCGTGTCGTGCATGTGTGTAGCGGGCAGCGAAGTCCGCCGTCTGATCGAGATGCCGGGAAACTCTGGTGGCACGCGCGTGCATGCTTCCTCCGGATTTAGGTTAAATATCCTTTTTTTCCTGCCCGTTTGTCCAATCGGAGGATGGAACTGGAACGGTAGAGGCATTCTAAGGGTTCCGATCTAGAGCACGTTCTCTCTCTCTCTCAGAGTCTCAGGCTGTCTCCCCTCTGCCTATCCCTTCTCTGAGATGCCGTTCGATTTGCGTGTAAATCCGTACGGTTGCCGAACAAGCACCGGATCGACAGCGCCAGCGATTTGCTTGATCAGCAAAAGCCGGGGTGTGTGACTGTCGTGCTGTGTAAAGTTGTGTGTGTGTGCGGAGACAGGAAAAAACAAGGAGATGCCCCGGATCTCTAGGCAATGCGACGATAGCCACACTTCTCATTTGCATGGCCCGTGACCGCTCTTTTTTACCCTCCCTCTTTCCTGTCTGCCGGGACCAGCGTTGCCCGCAGGTTCATTTCACGTTGCTCTTTTCGTAATCGGCGTGTCGGCAGTTCAAGAGGGGAGAAAAAGAAGGGGCCCCACGCATCGGGGGCTGGTATGGAGAGGGAAGAAAGCTATTGTTCTCGGTCGAAGCCTCAAAGCAGAAACGAGCTAAGGTAGTGCGTGGTATCTCGTACTGCGCAAAAAGACGAGCAGAAAAAAAAAGACCGAAGTTCTTTCTCCATACGCTACGTTTCCTAGCGTCCAAGTTGTCGGTCATCTTCCGTACCGTGGGGGGGAGTAAGAAGGGGGATGAACGAACTACCAGTACCACCGCCACTACACTTTGGCCGTCAAACTTGTCAAGACTTATCTCGAACGAGTCTTTGCCGCACCATGTTGCCGGATTATCTGCCCTGCGACGTTGGACGACAGCTTAGCTAGCGCTGTCTCTTTTCCTTCCTACCCTTCCCCCCCCTTTCCTCAGGAACATCCGAGCATTTTGCGGCCAGACTTTTAGACGCCATGAAGAATCGAGCGGCGGGCGGCCGAGGCCGTGAACCCTTGGCGGAATCCATTCCGATAATTTCCAATCGCCGGTTCGGCCGCCGGCGACATCATCAATTAAAACCCCGGGGGAAGGGGGGTTGGATTAATTCTCCCATCCGTAGAAGCAAGCCATGGTTTTGGACGCACTGCAGAGTTCCGACGATGACATGTCGCGACTGACTCGACCAGGTGGCAAACAAAAAAAAAAAACCCCACCAGAAAGGCTGATGAAGGATTGGGAAAACGTGAAGGGCTACTACAATAGCTTAAACCCGTGGACGAGAGAGCGGTCGAGAAGGAAAAATCCCCACATTCCGAAACCGAACAAAACGAAGCCGACGCCGACGGTGTATACGATCGCCCCTTTGCAGGATTCGCCCCGGCCGGCACATCATCCACATCGGCCGGGTCCCTTCCCCCCCTCCGATTTCCCCAGAGCCCCGCCGGACGCCAACATCGTTGCTCTCCTTGCGGTTTACTCTACACGCTTCCCGAGTGAGAGAACGAAAGAGGGGCGAACCGGTGGGCGTGCGTTTGCCATACATACGAGACGATGGCGGACGCACGAAACATTTGGATTGCCGGGTGGTTCCCGAGAATCTCAAGCCCGCCGAGATCCCTTCTTTCATGCCGTTCTTTTTCGTATAGTATGGCAAGGATGTAAGGGCGTTTTTGCTCTCTTTTGTCGTATATCTCTGTGCTGTGTTGGCATGATGATCATACACACATATCACGGGTAAAGCGTGCACTTACATGCATATTGTTACTATCAACACACATCCATGATATATAAGCACACACACGGGAGACGGGATGCTAGTATTACGGCTACTATCGACCTACCTCCCCTGACCTACAGTAGACGCAACCGAGAAACGGCACGTCGAACTATGAATGGTATCATTGAGACAATGGACGCTACGCTGCGTGGAAACCAGCTGGGACCCTCGGACCCTTGGGATACAACTTAAACTCCAAGACTTTTTTACCTTGCCTTTCTCTGCGTCTTTCTTATTCCTCCCAATGACGTACGGGTAGTGCTCAGCCGCCCGTCTTTTTACACGCCTTGGAGGGGTGGAGGGGGGCAAGTCGAGGAGACCGCAAGAAACATAATCCCGCCTCAGAACCGCGGGCCAAGGCTGCGAGGGTAAAGCTTGAGCCAGGCAAGTCCAAAGTCAATCTGGGGGTTTCGTTCATGGGTCAGAGAGGAGGGAGGGGGAGGGGGGGCTTTCTCAATGCTTCACCGTGCACAGCCCGCCCAACCAGCGCTGTTCCCAAGTGAGGCTCAGCAAGAGTGAAGCAGAAGAAAGTATGGACGGAAAGGCGGGAGTGGCTGGACGGGGACGGGGAAAGAATGGGTTCGGTATGCGCGGGCAACGTCGTTGACTTTTCGACGGGAGCTTCGGCGTGTTAGCCACCATCACCAGCCCTACCTTTCTTTTCACCAACCCGCGCGTGTATGCGTTGTCACCAATATTCCGTCTTCGCCGAGTTCGTCGTTTGTTCTCTGAGTGTTCAACGACGAAGAAGGTCTCGCCCATGCTTATCCGGGGCCTCCGCATACGTACACGCAAGTGCGAGATCCGTCGTGCTCGTCATACCTCGTCGGAGAAAGCTGGACGTTGAGTGCATCCTGCCCTGAGCGTCATCTGGTGCCGAGTCAGTAGGGGGCTCCAGTTTGGTTGTTTGATACAGATTCGCTTCCCCCCTCCATCCCCCCCCCCCTCCTTCGACGTCACTTTGATCTTTGCGGCCCAACGTACGCGTTTACCCTACCCTATCAAGAAAAGGGTAAGTCGCCAATAGCTGTCCTTTGACAAAGGTCTGCGGCGACCTTATTCCTCCTTTTCCCCTTGGATCACATATACCCCTAGCAATGATGTTATCCTCCAAAGTATACTCCCCGCCAGAAATGGAGCGTCCGGCTCTGCAGCTGCAGGACCTTAAGGAGCTACAGAAGCAACATAACCAGCAGATGCAGGAGGCGCAGCAGCAGCAGCAGCAGCAGCGACAGCAACGACCACTAGGCGTAACAGGACTGGGAGGTCTTGCGCAAGGAGCAGGAGCAGCCGAGTCGACGACCCTCAACAACGGCGGCGAGCGTCCTGTTCGGGAGTTCAACTACAACGGACGAGTCCGCAACAGTGAACGAGCCAGTGTCCGAGCAAGCTCTGGCGTACTTGGCCGACAACACCCTCACCGTAGCTCCTTTTCCATCTATTCCAACTATTCGTCCTATTCTTCCTCATCAGACGGAGGAGGAGGAGGCGGGGGCGGGGGAGGAGGGGCCCGAGGCTCGGTTCCAACTGGCGCCGGAGATGGAGGGGCAGCACCTCCACCAACGCACCCACCGCCGCTACCACGTCAACCGACGCCGACCCCATACACGGCGCAACAGCCGCGACGTATCCCCATGATGGAGATGGTGACACCGCAGGCGCCGGGGACGGCGGGCACCGCGGGAACCGCTAACACGGCCGGGACGGATGCCACGGCCGTCGCCGGGACCGAGCCTTCGGTGAAGCGGCAGCCTTCGCAGCAGCAAGTGCGGCATCCGCCACCGACGTACGCCCCATCGCAGGATCCGTACAGTCGCGTGAGGTTCGCGGACGAGGAGCGGCGGCGGGAGGAGGCAGCGGCGGCGAGGGCCAGGGCGGGCCATCCTTCTGGACAGATCGACATGGCGCAGATCGCGGGCGGGCATAGCATGCGCGCCCTCTGGGTATTTGCGTGTTGTGCCTTCTTCTGGTATCGGTGTTTGATGGACGAGGACTTTTGATGCGGTTTCTCCCCTTTTGTCCGACATTGATTCTCTTTTCTCCAATTCCCTTCTCTTCTTCTCTTCCATCCGCCTTTTCCGGTTTTCATCCTGTCGGTTGCCTCGGCTTGGGGCGATATGATGGGAAACGTTCTCTCTGGTGGACAGCGAAATGCGCTCGGCGTACGATACGAACTGGTCGCTGATTCCTGGCCACGGATGTCGGTGCCACTTTCCTTTTTACATCTCTTTTTTCTGTCCGACACTCGATGTCAATGACGAAACGAACGGTCGAGCTCATTAACGGTATCTTTGATGGCCAGTAGGATAAGTTCGAGAGGCTCAAGAGGAGGGAAAAGAACGAAGTCGTGGCGACATGATGATGATTCAGAAACGCTAAGAAAACAAACACGAATGATGATAAGGTGGGAAACAGCAACGAACAAGAAAGGGATGGAACGCACACGATTGACAAGGCAACAATGGCAACAGGATTATATATATGCACACACACACAGAAATGATAAGACGACCAACAGGAATACTGGGGACAGAGGTATCCGCTTGAAGAATATAAAAAAACAGCTGGCATACCGGGAGTTATGGGGAAGGATGTCTGAATTATGGGACATATGGGATCTGCTTATGATATAGATCGACTGTACTTGTACCACACAGTATACTTTTTTTCTTCTTCGCTTGCAAGCATATCAAAGAATTTGACTACCTTGCACAAGAGTTTCCAAAAAAGGGAGGGTGAGCATGACGACGATGATTTGATATTAGTCCGGGTATTCGATATCGAGCACGCAATCGGCCGTCCCTTGTCCATGTTCGTCCCAGTTCCTGGTGAGATTGAGGGAGGGGTAAAAGCAAGAGAGCGGGACAGACATCCCGAAAAGACGGGCTGGTAGAGGTACACGACGAACATACTTACCGTCCTACAGAGTTTTCTTTCCCTTGTCTTGGTCACGACGAGAAGGAGGTGGGAATACTTTGGCTAGGTTTGGGTTGCGGTTAGGTTCCTGTCCAACGGCTCACCGTTCATCGGCCCTCTTTTCTCCTTCATTTCGTCGTGGAAATAAAACCTCCGATTGGAACCAGAGAAAGACTTGGGATCAATAGGTTCATGCTAATGCATGGTCGTTGTATGTTATGTATCGCGTCGCAGGATAATGGGGAAGAGGGGTAAGATAACAAGAGGGAGAAAAAAGGCGGGACCCTTGCCTTGTTTCCCGCTCCTCTTGACGCGCAGGAATCACGGAGAATTTTCGAGACAAGTTTTGGGGAGACGTTGATGTCATGCTGATGTCGACGCCCCGGGATTGAGTATGTTCATATTGACGCCGAGTTTCTGGGACAATCTGGTGCATGATTTCTACGTCACAAATACCTTCCTTTTATTTAAGGAGAGGCATGCGTGGTGGAGTTGGTGATGTTGTCTCATGATCATCATCAGAACAGAAAATGTTGCCTTCTGATCGGATCTAGCTTTTCGAATCCCAAAGATGCGGCTCACAACACCAAAGTATGAGTGAACTTGAGATTCGACATCCATTGCCTGTCACAAGACTACTGAAGTCGCAAGGGGAATCGGTGTTAGGACAGGACCTGAACGTTGCTCGGCGAAGGACGACTTAAATACGCTCTCAGTTGTTATCACGTTATCAAACAGCCGCTGTTTGATAACGTGGGCTTCTGTCCTTAAGTTGTCCTGTGTAACACGAATTGATGTTCGGTGGCATAACGTTGACCCTACAACTTTCACTTCCTCGTGAAGCCTGGTGCTGGATGTCTAGTAGCCACCTTTGGCTCTTAAGAAGCAAAATGGCTCGGCAGCTTTACTTTACGCTTATGGTAGTAGTTACTATTATGTCTTGCTGGCTCCCCTGTGATAAGAACAAGTCAGGTAGAGCAACCGCGGTAGAGGGTAAAATGTTTTGGCTGAAAAATGGTCATCAAGTAGTCATCTCATGTGCACAGAACCAAGTGAAGAATCCTCATTGCTCGGCAGATCTGGGAATCTTACTCCGTTGATCAACAAGTAGAAGAGTAACGCCGACGAGATTCGGATCCACTCGGACGTCGTACAGCCTTTGACTTCTTCACACATCCTCTATTCTTTTTTATATCTGAGCTGTGCTAGAAATCTCGAGTGGAACTTCAATGATACATGAGCAGGAAGCTGGACAAATGGTCGCTTCATCACAGGGTATGTCCTATCCGCCCTTCAACCTCCTTCATAACCCCAAACGCCTCAAATGCCTCCGTCCTCACCTCCTCACCCAGCCCATAATTATCACTCTTCGCCAGCCACTCGAGCCGATCCATCCAAAATCCCCACCGCTGGAGACACATGATCGGCGGACCCTCGTACAGAACCCCTTGATATGCTATCGCTCCCTCCGTCAAGTCCCTCTCGTACTCTGGCATCTCGGAATAGCCAACGTTCTCCCGCGCCCACCCAAGGAGAGGCCTCGCGCTGTGACGAATTCATTCACAGGCGACGCGCAGTCGGCACTCTGCGACCGCCGGAATGGGGCTCGGCTCCTCCTCGAGCGCCGAGCGCAACGCGTCCATTGCTTGCGTGTGGAGGCCCAGGACGCCCATTCCTAGTAACATAGCGCCGAATCTTTTGATACTGCGCCATTCTTGTGCGTCTTTTGAGGTGAAGCTTTCTGTTGTCGCCTCTTGAGTTGGGTCTTATCTCGCGTTAGGCCTTCAGGTCCGCACGCAGCCTTGTCCCTCTTCACGAGGGACGACAGTGGTTCAATGGCAACGTACCACTTAAAGAAGCCTCAACGGCCATGTAAAACAATGGCAGGTCTTTCCAAACGCGCTGTATCTCTTCTTCGTTCTGTCAAGTTTGAAATGGTCAGTCATTTTGGCCCAATTTTGAGTGCTCATTGACCAGCGAAATACACTTACACCCCAGATGTCGATTTCACCTTTTGCACATTGCTGCAATGCTGACAGGGTGTTGATGAGATGAGTTTGCGTCTCTTTTGTCACGTCGTGACTGGTTGCAATATCTGTTATGAGGCTCCAAATGAGATAGAAGTAGCCTTCTGCCTCTTTGCGCTGTTCTAGAGGAGGGCACAGAGCGTCCAAGTAAGATGCAGCCTCTGAAGCGGTCTCCCAACTGGTCGCTCGAATGTCATAGGCCAGAATGTCATAGGCCAGAATATCAAGAATTCGAATCTCAGTATCTGAGAGGTCTAGTTTCTTCAACAGCTCTAGTTGGAGCAAATGGTTTTGTGCATTCGTCGTTTTCTTTTCCATTGTACCAAATCGAGGCTGGCTTTGATGGATGGCAAGGCAAATGAGGTTTCGAGTCTCAAAGGCAGTATCTGAACTGAGTGTAGTGTTCAATACAGTTCGAGGAATTCATATGCCTCAAACTATCAGAATCACGGGAAGCAACCGAATAAATAAGCACGAGCCTGCTGTAACTTCCATCCCAGAATATGTGTTGAGGTCGGCGGCCGGGGAATCACGGCCAGATCCCCGCTTTTCCGGGCCGGCGTCACCGCACACAACTGGTCAGAGCTGGGCCTTAAGCGACCAACAACCCGTGACGAGAATAGGTATCGACTACTTGGGCCAGACACAGCTTCTTTTCGTTGCACTGGGTGGTAGCTGAAGACATGGTCACGTTTGTTGTGGCGCGCCGCCGAACCAACACGGCGCTTGGTTATGCGTCTTAGCCAGCGGCGCGCGGAACCGAAGCGAGTTGTGCCTCTCGCTCGGCAGAGAATGGTCCTATTCTGGTTGTCTACCGCACAATTTACTTTCGTCCAGTACACACGAACTCCGCCAAGGATCGGTAAAGAGGCCAGAGTCAGGCCCATTCAACATTGCACTCTTGTCATCGCTTGGAGAATTAATTCTTCCAACATATTGCCTATTCACCAAAGATCATATACACTAGACTATCCCGACTAACAAGTTTTATCGTTACAAACCAAAAATCCTCCGTAGCAGAGACATCAAATCCTCCGGCAACCTCCTCATCAAACTCATCATACCCTCCCGAGCCAGCTGAGACCCCTGAGCTTCCTGAACCTGTCGCTCCTGCTGCTGCTGCTTCTCTTGCTCCTTCGGCTGCTTCTTCTCTTTCTTCGGCGTAGGCGTATACCTCCTCTCCCCATCCAACCTCTGCATCCCATATCTCTTGGTCACAAGCGTAGACCAAACCTCCATCCCCAAAATCCACGAAACGCACCCGTCCCGCAAGATTCTCAAATTCACATCATCAACCTCGTCCTCCAAAGTCGGCAGCCCCTCGCAAATTACAACAAACTTCTTCACAAGATCACTAGTCTCCTCGCCCAGCTTCGTCATGGCCTCTTGCACACCCATCCCGTCCTCCTCCATGAGGACCCTCACACCGTTATGTCCGTCCTCGCTCTTGGCCTGCTCTTTATCGAAACTGTAAATGTCGTTTTGGTTGATGATGATGTCGACGCAGAGACTCAACAGCGAATCCACCGCAGGAATCTCAAAGAAGCCGGGGCGGATGGCGCGGTCGATGAGGAGGAGCGCCATGCCCGGGAGAACGCCAATGGTACGGCGTCGGACGGCGATGTACCCCTCCCGGCTCGGCACGCAGTTGTGTCCTCCCACCTCCCCGTTCGGCCCCGTTCTCCGGAGCGCCACCTCGTCGCCCACGCCGTCGAGGTACTCTGCGAAAGTGTCCACAAAAACTTTCCACGACTCGGACGTGCCGCCTACGTCGTCGCTGCGGTAGCGGGTCGCGATGTCGGCTGCCATGCGAACACCCACCCACACCTCATCGCTATCCTTATTTCCATCTTCCCCCATGGCCGTGGCCAAGATCTCCTCGGGATGCCGAAACGCGTGGACCATGGCAGCAGACTGTCTCCGCACCTGGGCCTCGCCCTCCTCCGTATCGTCCACGTTATCCGTAAACTCGTCAATGACGAAGAAGTGGAGCATGACGAGCGCGGCGAGGAGGACGTGTCTTGTGGGCTGGTGGGCGTAGATTATGCATGCTATCTCGGGGAAGTCGCCAGCGATAATCTTGGAGATGAAAAGTTCGTTAATGCCCTTGTTGATGGAGTTGGGCTTGGCGTTGCTATAACAGTAGCCTCGTAGCCATCTTTCGGATTCGGCTTTGATGTACTGGGAATCTGGGTGGTGGTTTGGAGGGTAAGGAGATGGCCAGCTTGCGTGTCGGCGCCAGTCTGCAAGGAAATCCGGGATTTGAATAGTGGTTTCTTGGATGGTTTGCTTCTCAGTAATTGGGGACGCCATGATTTACGGCTCGCCAACGTAGATCCAATTGTCTGGATCTGGAGTAATATGACTGAGTGATGTTGTAACTGAAGTATCTGAAGAGAAGAAGAGGTTGCTGTGGACAAGAGAGCAGGAGGATTTGATTCAATGTCTATAGGCTTCGAATGTTTCCTCGGCCACTGCTCGGAACTGAGAACTTTATAGCCATCGTTCGAGAGGCTAAGCCGTACCACTAGCAGAATTTGAGTCACGAGGCTCAGCGAGAACGGAAAGGAAGCCTAGAACTTGATGTCATACAAGGTATACAATATCACATCCAAACCAACTTGTCACTTCCAGACTTGATAACGGTCATCATATCGGCACACAATCACTTCCTAATCAGGATGTGAAACGGGGCCTCTTCCCACTCCGGGGACAGGGACAGAGGCCAAAAAAACCTGATATGAATAACTCCTCCCCCTCCTACACGAAGAAACTACCGATCCACTGCCCAAAAGGCGTCCATTGAAGAGACTAGGCTATCGCCGTAGCCCACCGGAAATCCCTCTAGTGCCCCCACGCAACTCAGCCCTATCGCCATTGAGATACTGCACAGCAGACGCTTGTTGGTTCGCAAACGCACCCAAGCCAATCGATTCGTGGCCCCCAAAGCCCATAGGGCTGAGACTTGTCCGGACTTGTTGAAGAATCCGGTTCCAGGTCCGCGGTAGAGTTACCTTCGGACCGGGGCTGAGGGCTCCCCGGTCCCCGGCTCCTCCTCCCCCCCCCTTCCTTCCTGTGCCTCGGGCGGTGGCACGGTGATGATGGCTTGTTATTTCCACACACACACACACACACACACACACATTCACACTATTACACTATCACACACACTCTCTCACATACACACTTGCACAATACCAGCACCCTCTCTTACTTGCTTGCCCCGAGGGACTCCATAAAATCATAAGCATGGGGGCAAAATTCCACCAAAAACAAAACATGCAACACCAGGCATTCGCCGGTCGTCTCCGACCCGACTACTACTCTGGCCCTCGCTGGTTTATCAGTGGGAGAGCGGACGGGATCCCGAGTTCTCCAGTGGGTATGGTCGCATGTATTTTCCTCGGCCGGTGATTTTGTTTGTATTCCGGCAGGCTGGTTGACCGCGGAGCGTCGTTGGAACGGACTTGGCGGGATTACCAGAACCAGGACCCTGGGATCGACATAATCAGTGCGATTAGTCACAACGTATCTAAGCCCCCCCCCCCCCCCCCAAATTGGGGTTTGGAAAGTGGGATGTGGAGAAAGGGTGTTGGTCACAAGTGCATGTTCTCTTGTTTAGTACTCAATTGGGCATCATCTTACCCCTCGTTGCCCCCCTTGCTCTTTGGCTGTGGTTGGATCCGGTGGGAGCTGACTGTTTGCTTCGCCCGAGGCTAGCAACGGTGGCGGTGGTCCAGGCTCATACGGGCGGGGGGGTAGCGTCGTTCAAGGTCTCGGCCCGGGAAAAGCGGGGCCGGGGCGGGCGTCCGGCTTTAGCAGGCAGCACAAGGCAAGGCTTGGATGGAAGCCTGCCAGGCAGACATGGACTGAAGTCATTAGCGGGCGATGGTTTCTCTCTTCAAGGTGATTCTAGATCGGGAAACTATGCCAATCAAAGATTTCTTTTGTAGATTTATTCTCTGGCCGCGCTTCCTCAAGAGAGATGTCGCGTCTACATGCCAATTCCATTACGAGATCAACGAAATGAGCACCCACGCAGCGTGAAGCATAATAAGAACAAAAAAAAAAAAAGACGAAAGTAACAGCTTGGGTTCAAACCCGCAACCTTCCGAGTCCGTCATCGTATTCCATAGAAAAAAGGGTCCATATGTGAATACACAGACATTGCATCATTAACATCGCTCGTCACCCAAATTACTATGAAGAAGAATGGTCCAAAAAAAAAAACTATCCATGGCATGACATAGGACCGTGAGCCAACATACGCTTCCGCCATTCAAGGGCAAGAACCGTACCGCTCGGCCATCGACTACAACGGACGGTGTTTGTTAAAAGTGGCATCGCTTTTGGTCGCTATGTATCACTCTGCCAGTCTAGCATTATGTTTTTGAAGATCCATAAACCCGCTCATCTTGCTATAATCGTGAATGCGAGACTGAAACACCTCGATTTTCATATCTCCAATACAGGCCAGGGTGACCATGAGACCGAAGATGAATTTTCATATTCCAAGTCCTGTATGGTTGGCCGCAGTCACAATTATGACCTGCATGCGCGGGCACTCGGTTTGTATTTTGCCAAAGTGAAGGTTTCGAGATTTTACTCGGCTGGGATGATACTTTTTCTCCCCTCTTTTCTCTTTTTTTAAACATCATTTGGCAGTATCGAATGAGTCTCGTTCATATATTTCTACAAATGGAGCATCGATAGAGTGCAAAACTTTTCATTTTCGGATTAATTTGACGAAAAAAAAAGAAAAGGTTTTCTTCTTCCCAGTCTGGTCTAGGACGCAACCATCCATGTTACGGTTCATCAACGCGAAACTACCTAAACAGGACCGCTTGAAAAGGTTCTACTTCTTCTTTTTCTTCTCCTCCAAAGTTCGATGCACCAAGAGAGCAGCCAAAATCCATACCAGCAAAATTTCCAGAGCCAAAATTCAGAATTTAGAGAGGTCTCTAAAGCCGGGGAAGAGGGGGGAGGGGTGGGGGGTAGGGTGAGAGCGATGCCGCCCATGGCGCCCTCAAACAGAGAATCAAATTCACACGAGGAAAGTCATGTTGAGCAGAAAGTCGTCCAAGGGGAAAGGGGGAGGGGGAGGGCTGCTCAAGTACAGTGTTCATAAGCACCTGTAGCATCGGACAACAATTTGCGTCAATTGAAGCCAAATGAACACACAGGAAGCTGGGATTCGGAATATTACAAGATCTCGCTGTGTAAAGAGCGATACATTTTTGGTTGGGTGCGGCTCTCTCTCTCCCGATGAAATTTGCACAGAAAAGGTGTGTAAGTGTCGGGAATTCGCTTTTGGTGGAGATGAACTTAGTAATTCAATGATATTTGAAAGATGACAAGAAACTCAGCCCCGGCCTGAGGTCTAGAATATGAGACTTGATCTTAGTCAACTTCACCAACCTTGCTACACCAGGACGGGAACCTGCGCCTCACCTGTGTTACACAAAATACCCAAATCTCACGCGGCGATGAAAGAACTTCTCATGTACTAGAGTGTATGTCTTTTATAAATTTGCTAAAAAAAAAGATATGGGGTATCGAGTTTATATAACCAACACAAAAAGCCCTTAGGCCGAAACGACGGGAAACAAAAGACTCCGACACAAAGAGCACGGCACTCCGCCACCCTCTCTCCCGAGATCTCACTCACTCCAGCTCAGCAACAAAGGGCCCTTGCAGCGTCGCGCCACTGTTCTGCTGACACCCATTCCGCTGCTGCTGCTGCTGACCGGCATCGCCACCACCGCCACCTCCCGCTGCTCTCCCACCCGCGTACGGCGACGGAGGTAAAGGTTTCGCATCGTAGGCGTTGTGGCCGCCGCCGCCGCCGCCGCCCAAGAAGTTAACCTGCGCATAACCATTGGCTGTGGACGGCTGCGATTTGATATCCGGCCACGACGGCTTCTGGTGATGTTGATGTTGATGGGACATCGTCGAGCCAGTTTGGGTGGTGCGGCGGACACGGAGGGGTTCCGGGTATGCGTTTTGTGAGGTTTGGGAGCCGTCGCTGGCCGGGGGCGTCGGTGCTGGAGTTGGAGCGGTTACGGGGTTGATGTTGTTGTTGTTGTTGTTGTTGGGATATGAGGGCCTATATGGGAGACTGATCTGGTTTCCGAGAGCGTTGTTGTTCGTGTAAGTCGTATTCGGGTACGTTTGATGCTGTGTCGGCGGGAACGGTGGTTGCGGTGCGCTGTTCCCGCTTGAGCCGGACCTTATAGACCCCGATAGCGAGTTCTGACTCCCGTGCCGTTGATGCGCGGCGGCGACGACAGCGCGGTGGACTTTTGTCTTTAACCGGTCGACCAGCAAGCCATGGCTCTTCTTGAGCGTCTTCTTGACAAAGGACGAGGTGAAGACGTTGCAGCGCATATCGACGTCCTCGCGGATGTAGAGCCCCGTAAGCGGGGCGCCGATGCCGAGCTCGACGGGCTCGATGGGTTCTCCGGGTAAAGAGCCGGCGACGGTCCACTTGTCGCGGATCTCGAGGCCCATGGGCGCGTAGCAGTGGGTCTGCAGGCCGGTGGGCAGGTCGTGGAAGCAGCAAGTGTAGCTGACGTTTCCCGTGGCCAGGCCGCCGGGCAGGTAGGAGATTTCGTCGGTGAGGGAGTACCAGGCGCAGGCGTGCTCTTCCGGGGGCGCGTTGGGCGGAGGGGGGATGAGGTGACGCTCTTTGATGAGGGGGTTGAGGTCGATCATCTCGAGGTGGTTGTGGAGGAAGTCGAGGACGGCATCGCGGGTGATGCCTGGGGGTAGAGGGGAGATTGTGGTAAAGGTTGTGCGTTTTGACATTGTTGGAGGTAGAGAAAAATGGACGAGAAGGCGGGCGGAGGGAGATTTCTCAGTTTAGATGCGGGTATTCGACCCCATGTGCAGAAAGTCTGTATCTGGAGACGAGTATGGATGAGGGTTGAGGATGCGATGTGAGTTTAAGGTTGCTAAGCTCTAGTTTGGGGGAAAACAGCTCTATTGCCGAAGATGATATGAGGTAAAAAAGAACAAGTAATAGAATAGATTTGGTGTAGAGGAGTCGGTTGAGTAGGTAAGCTAGGTAGGGAATGTAGTCCCAGGAGTTCGGATTTGAAAAACGAGAATAGAAAAGTCAAGTTTGCGGTAAAACGGTAGATCGAAGCCGGGAGGGTATTGGAATGGGGCCTTGCCAGGTTATGCGGCGGAAGAGGAAGCGATGCGTTGTGGTTCGGAGGCAGTGCCAGCTTGGCACGGAGACGGAGGACGGAGGCGCAGAGGGCGGCCGGGTGAGATGGGCTCCGTGAGGCGTAGCTGTGTGTGGTGGGCGGTGATGGCACGGTGAAGACCGGCTACCTATACCACAGATACGGATGCTAGTATCTGTACCGCAGTGCGATACTGTGTAGTGTGTACAAGGTATGCGTGTCCCTTGGGCTGGGTTCCCTGCCGGAAAGGGTTGGAGCCGGTAGAAGACAAGGGCTCTGGGGAAGGGGAGCAGGGCAAGGATTCCCGCGAAGAGCAAGGTTTGGAGGTGAGGAAGTCGAGTATCCGTAAGAAGAAACAAGAAGGGGTACTACCACGGAGTGAACCAAGCAAGGTTAGGTAGTTGAGTGATGTACGGTAATGTATTTTGGGAGTGTGAAGTCGTAAGAGATTTAAGGGAAACGGAATAGACCCGAGATGACCTCAAGGTCGGGAGGGATATGTACCTTGGGTATGGTAGATGGCAAACTAACGATGATGATTGATCAAGAACAGCGTCAGAAAGACCAAAAGAACAAAAGGCCAATCAATGAAAAGAAGCGGCGGAGAGCGGGTAAGGAAGGAACTGATGCCAGTCCGTCTAGTACTTGTAGTCCCATGTCACGTTGTAAAAAAGATGCGGTCAACCTCCCAGTCCCCCCCCCCCCCCTCCCCCAGCTTCGGAGGGAATCACAGATTGAAAAATAACGAGAAAATACCATCAGGCGGACGGGACCCATGCATACCTTACCTCACACCTTTTGGCTGAACTGAGGTGTTCGTACTTCTGTATCCGTAGGAAACTCGTCGGGGGCCACGGGATTGGATTGGGATGGCATGGGGTAGAAGCATGGGCGGCCGCCCTCATTCTCTCTCTCGCGCACGCACACACAAAGTACCTTCCTTACCTTACTGCGTAGGACAAGGGGAGTCAGTGGACAAGTTTCTGTGCTGCCACTAAAACCAAGGCATGGCAGGTTGCTCGGCTCGGACGTTTCTCTTGTCTTTTTCTGTCGTCCCATCAGCTCAGCCCCCCTCGAAAGACTCAGAAACAAACAGATCGTGCGGCTGATGTCCCACTGGATGTTTTCAAAAGATGGTCCAGTGGTCCAGTGGTCCTGGGGGAGAGGGGGAGAAGATGGAGAAGAGCCTGGCCTGGTGTTTCTCGGCACATGGCTAACTCGGATCGATGACAGATGACAGTGGCACCTGGAGACCCAGACACTCAAAAACCTAACGGAACTCAAAGAAAGAGAACCACACCAAAACCCCAAAACCCACCAGATTGGATGCCCGTGTGCGGAATTCAACCCGCCGCAACGTGGCGGCGGGCGGCCGCCGGGTTCCCAGACGTGTGGGACCACCCTGTATCCGATGGAAGACTGATCACTAAAGGTATCCGTACCCGACCTTGTCTTTTGCCTCGAAAGTATCGAGACGGGAGCTGCCATTGGGCCGATGCAAGATTCAATCAAACGCCAAGACGTTTCCCGAGCTGCAGGGCCTTTCCGTCGTCCATCCAAAGTACCTAATCCATCCGCACACCAACAACCACACGCGTGCGGCTGGCATGCTCACTCACCAATCTCCATCTTTTCCAGCATGAACGAATACGAGAACAATGGCATTCTTGAGAGAAACGCCTCTTTTCACACACACACACACACATGGCCATGCGCACTTCGGAAAGGATCCAATGAGGTCCAGACTTCGGTAGATGCCTTCAGGTACTTGAGGGGGGCTAGGGAGTGTACCTTAGATGTAGGTAAGAAAACAAACCCTCTTTTAGGGGAGCGGCCGGCTTACAGCTCTTGGCACGCGGCCGCCCGAAGGGGGGCGTCACTGACACTCTCCAACGTCGTTTAAACTACCACAAACTACCCGAGGCGGCCGCCATCGCTTGGCGCTTCTTCACTACACTAACACACTGGACATTTCAGACTGCACTCACCGTCTTCTTACAAACGTCAACCCATATCTTAGACAAGCTGACAATCGCATTTGACCAGGCTCATATGCTACTGGCCCTCACGTAGTATGCAGTGTCTGGAGCGGTAGTCTGTCCTGTTTTCCCATCTTTTGTCAGGCTGTCAGAGCCCATGCGCTGCTACGATGATCAAAGGTTTCACGAACCCCCCTCCACCCCCCCCCCATCATCCCGTCAGATCAACCACAACCCCGGCCGCTCCAGCCTCCCCTCCCTTCCCCCTCCCGCTGCCTCGTGAAGATCGCCTAATTATATATATCCCCCGGCGGAAAGGGATCATACTCTATCTTATTCAGCACGTGTTTCTCCGCGATGCCGTGACATCGTGACATCATCTACGGATACCTACTTTATGTTTTCATCCATTCTCCGCTACGGAGATATGGTGATATAGTCCGACAGACATTCCGCTCTTCAAGCCCCCTGCCTCGTGACCGGGGCCGTAAGTACATCGCAGGAAGGGCACACCCAAAATTCCTCATAATCTGCATGTTGACCTCTTCCCCCGGCGTCCGACGACGTTACGGCCGTTACACAGCTATCAAAATCCCCCCCCCCCCCCCACCCCCAAGCAACAAACAGCCATCAAACCTCGAAACTACCACACCACAAAACAAAGCCCGGTTTAGACTTTAAACCTAGGACTTGACAGCAGACCAAACCAATGAGATCCGCTTCGGTCCTACGACACTCAAAGACGACCGGTATTTCACTATAGTACTACCATCGCCTGGCTGACGCTATCCGAATTACACTAATCTCATGATCACTAAACATCAAAAAGAATCCCACAAAATCAACCGCCCCAGAGACTCCAGCAAAGTTAAAGTCTGTTGGAGAGAATAGAAATACTGCCCGCCGTCCTCGTATTTCCTCCCCCCTTCACCCTACATCTTATATCGTAAGCAGACTGCAGGTTTTTCTTGGATTCCAAAGTAGCGTAGACACCGGGCCGGATCGTCTCTCTAGCGCCGCATCAAACAACCGCCTGGTCCAATGTAATTAACCCCAACCTTCAATCAACGTGCCTACTTGCCTACCCAAGGTAGGTATTCATCTCGCACGTCTGGCGTACCTACTTGATAGACAATCAGACCACTTTATGCCAAATCCGCCCTACGAGACCGCGCGATACTCATGTGGCGCCAAATCCTGGTTACCAGTTGTGGAAATGAGATCGCCAAGGAGGGCGCTCAACTTTCAGTATCAGCAGCCCCTTTGCCTTCAACTACTGTCACAGGCCCCAGGGGTGTAGATATGAAAGCCTAACAATGGCTGATGCTGGTGTATAGCCTTGGTTTATACGCCCTAGTCATATCATATGCCTCCAAAGACGGCCTACATTCCCAGTCTTCATCAAAGCATGATTCCATTTCTCACGCTCAAATCTCCTTGCACCACCGCGCCAACACGTTATTCAACTTCAACCCTGCGGGAATCTCCTCCAGTGCCATATCCACCTTCCATATCTTGCCCTCCAGCCCGCCGTACCCCGAAGCCCGACCCGTCCCGAGACCCGCTGGCACCAGCAGCCCCAGAGCAACGAGCCTCTCCCATGAGAGGCCAGCCACACCGCGACCCCACACCCGCACGCCGCCGCCCAGGGCCAGCAACCCCGAGCTGGCCGACTGCACGCGCTGCCGGCCCATCAGCGAGCCGTACTCGTCGTACGCCATCGCAAAGTTGACAGTGTCCGTGTGCGCGACAATGTCCAGTCGCGCTGCTGCGATGAGGAGGCCCAGGTCCAGCTCCGAGAGCGACGACAAAAGGTGAAGCTTGGAGTTTGGCGGCGTGAGGGAGACGACCGCGCCGCTTGGCGTTGGCGGAATGACGAGGTCTAGTGATGTAGACGAGAGCGCGGAGAGGGGAAGGATACACGCTGATAGGAATGCCGAGACGGATTTCGTCGTCGCGTAGTGGTATTGCAACAGACTTTGGAATGCCTTTTCCTTGTACAGAACCTGTGGAAAGGTAAGTCAGTTTCCATCCACCCCTCCTACAATCTGCTCTAGAAACATACCTCAATCATAGCCTTCCAATTTGCGTGGAAAGCTTCGTGTCCATCGACACTAACGTCAATGCCTTCGGCCTCCATGTCCTCGTCGTCTACACAAAGGCCCTGCTTGCATACTTTCCAGTATGCCGGCAAGCTCTTCGGGAGGGACAGGTAGACATAGCGGTGGCTGAAACGACTTTTCACACGCTTTTCCAGACTTTCTACTACGTCCATTCGTGTCGTGCAACCTATCACTGCGATAGGGGCTTTCCGCGCCTGTGCAATATCAAACAGATTGTAGAGCAGCGTTTGCCGGGGGTGCGCTGCAAACATGTCAAACTCATCAATGATGAAGACGACCGCTTGCGACGTCACACCCTCTTCCGCCTGTGCCATTTCTGACGGGTGAGATAGCAGCGCAAGCAGCGAGGCCATTGTGTCGGCATAATTTGACTATGCGATTCGTTAGTTTTTTTGGCCTTTATCTCTCGAGGTATTGGGGATGCAAACCCGAGCATTGGCCTCGTCCTCTGTCTCCATCTCTTTGCCTAATTGCCGCCAAATCTCTTTGAGGGCCAGCTTGTCGTCGGTGTGAATGAACCCGTTTAGTCTTACAACATGGAAATCCTTCTTGTGCTGCAAAGACAGGTCGTCGACTATGCTCTCGAGGAGCTTTTTCATCTTAGAACAGTACCGATGCAGGGAGAATGACTTTCGACTTACCGTGGTCTTGCCGCAACCCCTACCCCCTATTACGAGCATGGAGTTGCCCTCCCCTGCCAGTACTGTCTGCTCTACCAGCTGATGCGCCTTCTCGTAGGCATCATCCTGGTCAATCAGCTTAATTCGTCGGCGACCCGTACACCGGTCTAGTAACACCCTTTGCAGATTGCTCAGGTGTTGTGCGAAATTGGGAGTCTTCACCGCCTCGTCTGCTGCTACTGCTCGCGACTGCTTCTGCCCAACACAGTCGTTGCAGAACCAGTCTCCCCGGGGAACCTTGGGCACGTTGTAACATTTCTGATGGAACGCCTTGTCGCAGCCATCACAGAACAGAATCCTGTTTCCAGGCTTGGAATCGGGCTTCATACATATCAAACAAACGTCCTCGTCTTCCTCTTCCTCCTGCTCTGACGCTTCTGCAACCGGTTCTTCATCTTGCTGTTTTTCGACTGCTGACTCCGCCTCGTTTTCTCCCTGCGGCTCCTCATCTATCACCTTTGGTAGCGCCTTTCGTGACTTCGCGGGTTTCACCACTGCTACTTTTGCTTCGACCACCTTTTGAGATGGTCTTCGGCCTCTCCCAGACTTGGTCGGAAGATCCTCGAAAAACACCTCCTCTTGAGCCAAGGCACTAGCGGAATCGAACGCTACGCTCTTGCTCCTCCTTGGCGTACCGTCCCGCTTGGACGGCGTCAAAATACCTTTCAGAGGCAAAGATATGTTGCGGTTCGCCTTCACCGTAGCCTTTTTGGACTCCGGCACTTCATTCGCAGCCGCAGAGGCTCTCGTATGAGAAGTCGGAGTGGCAGAGCGGCTGGCAACCTTTTCCACATGCTCGAGGGCTTTCGCTGTCAGAGTTCTCCGGCGACCGCTTGATCGTATCTGCGAGGAAGACTCCTCCGTCGAAGCAACCTTCTCGTCCTGACCCGCCACCTTATTGCTCTTGCCCTTTCGAGGCTGCGGCATCTCGATCGTTTCCCCTCCATTGACCTCGTTCACATCGTGGTCGACCGCGGTATTGCTCTTTCTCTTCGTAGGGCTTGCTTTCTGCGAGTTCACCTCCTTCGGGCTCGAATGCAACTCATCGTCGGAGCAGGGAATATCGTAAATGTCAACGTCGACATCGCGGCGAGGCGGGATCGGGACCTTGGCAGTCGGTCGGTCAACGCTCCTGACATTGCGGATTCGACGTGGCGGGTTGTCTTCAGGGGAGTCTGGGACGTCGTATGCTGAGACGGGCGAGGATGTAATTTTACTGCGAGCCGACTTCTTCACAGCCGACGAATTGGCTCCGGGAGTAGTCTTTGGTGTTGTCGGGGAAGAGGCAACAATGAGGTTGCCATTGGCGTCTAGCTTTCGTTTCTTGAAGCTCGATGGGACACTGTGGTCTGGTTTTGCTGGTGTGGCACGACTGCGCTTGCGGCTCTCCGTGCTGTCGTTAGCACCCATTCTCCAGATGTATCGCGGATGCAGGAGATCGCGCGACCGAAACCAGTACAAAGGAAAGGCTCGTTTCGCAAGTCCGAGTCAAGAAATTGGTGGATGGATTGGCAGCTCCTGGAAACTGTCGGAAGGTTACGAATACCACCAGGAAATTTGGAGAGTGACAAGGGTCCAGCGCGTTAACTGCCTACCTTGGCGCACAACCGCGTCGGATCCTGGCAGGTACGGTCATAGCGTCTGGGGCGGTTGCCCTGTCAACGACCATGACACAACCCTGGCTCAGGACTCGGACCTTACCTCTCTCGTCCATGCGATCGGACGGAAGATGAGAGCTCAGGTCGAGATCATTACAGCCGGCCCCCGGATGCAGGTTCAACTTGCAGCTACCATACCACGAGATTCATCATAGCTTCAAAGGTAACGCGGAATTGCCATTTTGCTGAATATTAACACGGTCATAATTGTATGCCTTATGCTGCCCAACGCCCGCAATAAAAGTTTCTTGCTTCCTTGCTCAGCCATCTGAGCAGCCGTATGATCTGCATATGTCCCATCGTGAGCACGTTCGCATGTGTAATTCACACAGCTGTCACCCAACCACCAAAACCAACGCCAAGTCTGCGGCGACTCTCACATCAAGTCCTTGCTCATCTCGTAGGACCAACCACCCTCTCTGCGAAGCTTGTCGCGAGCTGCAAGATCCTTCCTAATCTCGTCTTCTGTCAAGCGATCCGATCCACTCCAGTTAGCGCTTGATGTGCGTGCGCGGAACTTGTGCCATCTCTCCTTGTTGTTAAACACTTCCTCCATGTTAAGGGCACGGGGAGGCCCAAAGATACCCTCAGGGTTCATGGTTTCCTGTTTCATGAGGGCGCGTCTCAAATCAGGCGAATCAGCCCAAGGGGCAACGCCAAAGTGGGAGTCGTCATCATCTTCGTCCTCATCTGTATCGATTTCGGGCAGCTCAATCTTTTCGCCGTCTTGGAATCGAGGAGACGATCTCGTGGCCTTTGCGGTAGACTTGGTGCTTGCAGCACCCATAGGTCGCGCTGGTGTCTTATGAGCCGGGCCGGCAGGGTTTGGATTGGGCGCGAATGGAATGTGTCCCTGAGCAAACTGATTCATATCCACTTGCTTTGTGGACTTGATTGTGCTGTGGTGCTGGGCGGTGACGGTAGACTTGAACAAATCTCTGGAGGCACTCGGTGGTGCGTTGGTGTAGCCGTACGTCGACTTAGTGGGTATATCCTGATGATCCACGTTAGTATAGCTCCCCTCGTGCGCACTGAGCAATGGGTAACCAACCTTCTTGAAACCAACTGACGGAGGGCGAACAGGAGGGCCCTTGATGTTGGGTGGTTGAATGTCCATGTCAAGCTCATCAGCAAAGTCATCACTAGTGCGACGACGCTTGGCTTCTTGGGTTTTGTAAGATTGCCCGTTACGTGCGGGAGGGTTGCGCGAGCCAGTGTCCTCTCTGCTGTCTTGCGGCAGGGGACGCTTCGAGCCTGGCTTCGAAGCGTTTGAGAGAACAGCATTGACCGGTCGATCCTCTTGAGACCGATGGGCCATTGAGTTCATTCGGGACGGAGGCCGGGGAGGCTGGCCATCGGAGCGTTGGCTGGCGGTGTAGTCGGGAGGGCCATTGGGCTGAGAGCGCACAGCAGGCGGCGGTGCTCGGGTCTGCTTGGCACGCTCAATTGCTGCCTGTCTCTGTGCGCTCTTCTTCGCCTCGGCTTGCTCCCTGTCCCTCTCCCTCTGTCTCTCTGCCTCTTGCCGCCTTTGCAGTTCCTGCTTGCGCTCCTCCTCTTGAATCGCAGCGCGTTTGCGTTCGAGTTCGAGCTTCGCATCTCTCTTCCGTTGGGCCTCCCGCTCTTCTTGTTCCTTTCGCTTGGCGGCAAGCTCGAGTGCTTTCGGTCGGCCGTTGGACGAGACAGAGCTCTTCATGCTCGCCAGAGACTGCTTGCTATGTGAGCCTGGCTGGCTTGATTTGGACTTGATTGAGGAGCCCAGTGTCTCTTGTAGGCCCGATGATAATGTGCTGTTGGAGGGGTGGAACTGCGAGTGTTGCGAGCCGGTGTTAACGCGAATGACGGTAGGTGCTTGCTTGATCTTGCTGGGCGCTTCCTTGGTTGGCTTCATCGGACGCCTGAGTTCTCGCTGCCTGGCCGTCTGGCTAGGGCCAACAGAGCGAGGAGCGGATGGCGGCGGCCTGGGGGTTGGCGCTTCAGCCATTTCTACATCAGGCTTTTCTGACTGTGAGGCCTGGGCAGCAGCCTCGGCCTCAGCTTGAGCCTTGGCCTTGCGAGGGCTAGTCCTTGTAGGCTTGGGTGCTTCCTTCGGGGCCGGCGTTCGAGCAGGTCGTTCAACCTCCCTGACTTGCTCCTGTTCAGGTTCCTTCTCCTTTTGAGCAGCAATCTTCTTCTCCATCGCGGCAATCTTCTCTTGCTCTTTGCTGAAAGTCCGGGCCTTTTCCCGCTCATCTGCACGAGCCTTGTCCAGCTTGCTCATCTGATCAGCCATCAGCTTGGCCTCTTTCTCTTTCCGCTTGTCTTCCTTCTCCTTCTCAACGGAAGCCCGCGTTCTGCGCGCAACGGGCTTCTCAGGGCTTCCCATGCTAGAGAGTGTTTGAGCATCGGCTGCAATTCGCTTGGAAAGGTCAGGATACAATGGCTCTGCGGCGACTGACTGGGGCACAATCGAGTCTGTAGAGGGACCGGGGTTGATGCCGAAGCGAGTGGTGGAAGGTGACATTAGCGAAGATTTGCCCTCAGCGCTGATAGCCGCACTGCTCGCAAGAAGACCCTTGGAACTTTTCAGAATAGAAGACAGCTTGTTCTTGACCTGTTTCAATGGACTGTCCCGGAAGCTTCGTGTAGGCGATTGGGGGGTCTCGGGGCGTCCATCCTCCGGCACAGCTGACAGAGGGTTGGAGACAGAAACATGCTTCTTGGCTGGGGACAGGTCTTCAACCATTTTGTCCTTCGAAAGATCGGGCAAGACAGAAACGGAGGCAGATTTGCCGTGTCCAAACACACTGGTGGTACGCTCAGGGATGACAGGTGCCCGCTTGGGGGAGCCTGAGCGACCAGGAGATTGCCGCTGCTTAGGAAAAGCAAATTCAGGACCGCTGACGGTGTCTGCCCTGTCAATGCCTTCCATGACGTCCGCAGTGTGGCTCTTAGGCAAATGCGGTCGTGGACTGGCCAAGGGCGTATCTTTCGCAGGCACAGGAGGCGCAATCCAGTCATCCTCTTCGCCTTCTTCCACTTCGTCTTCTTCTTCATCGTCCTCCGGGAACGCCCCAGGAGTTGGCGGTGCAGCGGACTTCTTCGCGGGTGTTGCTGCCTTGGCATCTTCAACTAATTGGGCCGCAGTCGTTTGCGCAAGCTGTTGCGCAACCGCCGAGCTCGGGATCGACTTTGAAGGTCGGCTTGCGTTTGGTTGAGATTTACCGAGCAAGTTGATTTGGTCTTGTAGTCGTTGAGTGTATGTTTTGTTGTGGTTAGAAGCGTAGTTGTCGACCTCCTTCTTGTCTTCGGCTGAGCCATCGATGCTCATTCCGTCGTCGTTGCCTTCCTCGTCGTCTGATTCCCCAAGTAGCTCCATGTTGTTTCCTAAACTCTTTCCTCCCGTTTGCCTACCATAGTAACTCTGACGGTTCATATCCAAGTGACTGGTCCTGGAGACGCGGGCCCCGATACTCTTATTCTTAAGAGGCTCTCTAGCAGGAAGTGAAGCAAAGTTGAGGCTGCTCTTCCTGACTGGGCGGATCGGGCTCGACTCGTCGTCGGATGGTGATCGTGTATCATCGTCCATGTGGACATCCACATCATCGTGTGATTCGGCAGCAGGCGAAGGCTCGGGCATAGGAGATGGTGCAGCTCCAAGCACAGGTGAGGATGGCGGTGAAGACTGCTTCGCTGGGGAGCGCTTCTGAGGTGAGGCTTTGATAGGTGACACGCTCTTTTTTGCGGAACGGGGCGTGGGTGACACGATAGGAGGCGAGGGCGTTCTGGCTTCCTTGGCCGGGCTTGGGGCAGCTGAGGTCTTGGACGATGCTGAGGATGGAGCTTCCTCGGTGAGATCGCGTATAACCCGCGTTGTCTGCTCTTCCTTGGCCGTCTGGAAAGTAACTTCAGGAGAGCGTATAGTACGTGTTTCGGTAGGGCTTTGAGGCGCGTTCTGCTCGATGGCCTCGAAGGCGACATGGCCGGTACGTCCAGCAGTCTTTGGGGGGCTCGATCGTGGCTCGCCGATCTGTGTCTCCTCTTCGATCAGGTCGACATCCATGTCGTCGTCGTCGTCTTCTTCGTTGTCCACGTTGTCGACATCCTGGCTGCCATAATATCCGGAATCGGCTAGTGCAACGGGCTGTTTCGAAACCGGCCTAGGGGAGGGGGCAGCCTTGAGGGGCGAAATATTCCTGTTGATCAAAGGTGACAATGTTGATGGCACAGGGTTGGCAGTGGGAGTAGCGCGAGTAAGATGTTGTGTGAAAGTGTTTGGGGCGCCGTTGGGAGTGGAAGAGAACACATCTGATAGTGGCTGCACTTTATTAGCGGACGTTGATGTTGGCGCGCGTGACAGCAGTAAACTCACGATACGAGGCTCGCCATTGTCGACCTTACGCGCCGTTCGGGGCGTTTTGCTTCGAAGCTTTCCAGGTGTCTTGAAGATCTCGGCGACATTGCTGTCAAGGTAGTTAGCAATCGGCACAGAGCAACTAGCCAGGGGTCACCATACATTTCGTTCTCGTTGAAGACCCCAGCCATATGCTCATTAAGCCAGTCAAACTCGTTTCTCGCGGCAAAAGAGAACTCTTCGGCCTCAGCCTGAACGATACTAAGGGCTGTAGTTCGTTCTTCGTTAACCCATGACGCGGAGCCAATAGGCACACGCGTTCCTCGCATCGTCGCCATTGTGAGGGGTAGATCGCGACGCGCGCAAGAGTGTCGCTATGAAGAAGAAGAGAAATGCTAGCTGTTCATCGAGTTCGGGATGTGGTAGATGGGTGCAGTAAGGTAGTTGCTGGAAAAAGAAGGGGGAGAGGAAAGCAAAAAGTGGAAAACACACAAAAGCTGTATGGATGTGCGGTGGTGTTGATGGACCTGGATTTGAATTGCATTGCGAACCGAATGTTTTGGTCGAGTCCGGATTCGGTTTAGCGCGGCTGAAGCTCGTGGGGCTGCTTGAGCCGGGGCAATCACAAATTGACAGTCGCGCTTGCGGCTTGCGGGAGACTTGCAGTGCCCTGTGTGACTGCCTGCCCCGTATGTGTGCTGTCCCCGATAAGGGCCTTATCGGGCGGGAGTGCGGGAGGGTCCAAACCTTCCATCCATGGGAAGGGGGGGTGAAGTGGAAACGCGACCGATCGAAAGTAAACAAAAAGACCTTGACTCTGACAACACTCCTCAGCAACACCATCGCCAACCACTAACCACTGCAGCATGAGGGTCATAGAGGTTATCATAGACGTATGCGATCACATTTCTTCTTTTATCTTTTCGATGCTAACAGTATCCAGGGCTTCAAGTCGTATGCCGTGCGAACGGTGATTTCGGGATGGTAAACAAACCCCTTGCCTTAGCTGTGAGAGGACGTAATCTCACACATCACAGGGACGAAAGTTTCAACTCGATCACCGGTCTCAACGGTTCCGGAAAGTCCAACATCTTGGACGCCATCTGCTTCGTTTTGGGAATTACCAACATGACAACAGTCAGAGCGCAAAACCTCCAAGTGCGTAGCCAGCCATTGTGGTGCATTCTGCTGGTGGCAGGTGAAGCTAATGCTATTCACAACAGGATCTTATCTATAAGCGCGGTCAAGCTGGTGTGACGAAAGCGAGTGTTACGATTGTTTTCGACAACAGAGACAAGAAGAAGTCACCGATTGGCTTCGAAGAGTACTCAACCATTAGTGTGACTCGGCAAATCGTCCTCGGCGGCACATCCAAATACCTCATCAATGGACACCGAGCCCAACAGCAGACTGTACAGAACCTGTTCCAGTCTGTTCAGCTAAATATCAACAACCCCAACTTCCTCATTATGCAGGGTCGAATCACAAAGGTTCTCAACATGAAGCCGGTCGAAATTCTGGCCATGATTGAAGAAGCTGCGGGAACCAGAATGTTTGAGGACAGGAGAGACAAGGCGCTTAAGACCATGGCGAAAAAAGAGATGAAGTTGCAAGAAATCACCGAATTACTACGAGACGAGATCGAGCCGAAGCTTGAGAAGCTCAGAACAGAGAAGCGAGCCTTCCTCGACTTCCAACAAACCCAGAACGATCTCGAGCGTCTTACACGCGTTGTCGTGGCGCACGACTATGTAAGGTGCCAGGAAAAGCTTGAGCAATCCGCAGCAGACCTGGAGGGCAAGAAACAAAGACAGAAGGACCTCGAGGAGTCTGCGGCACGACTGAAGAGCGAAATCTCCCATCTTGAAGAAGATGTCAAACGAGTCCGAGCTCAGCGCGACAAGGAGTTGAAGAAAGGAGGAAAGGCGCAAGCCTTGGAGGATGCCGTCAAGAAACATTCGAACGAGCTGGTCAGACTTGCTACGGTCATGGACTTGAAGAAGTCCAGCATGGCGGAAGAGGAAGAGAAGAAGACGGCTGTCGAGAAGAACGTCGCGGAGCTGGAGGCGACACTGCAAGAGAAGACTCAGGCTTTTGAGGAAATCAAAGCCCGATTTGACGCAGCCAAGGACGACCTGGAGAAGCAAAGCCAAGAAGCCGAATCCAAGGAGGAACTCTTGCAAACACTGCAGACCGGTGTTGCATCCAAGGATGGTCAAGAAAGCGGCTACCAGGGCCAGCTCCAGGACGCAAGAAACCGCGCAACGGCATCGGTCACTGAACAGGAGCAAGCAAAGATGAAGATCGCTCATCTCGAAAAACGAATCAAGGAGGAGGAGCCGCGGGCTAAGAAGGCGAAAGAGCAGAATGCCGACCTTCTCAGGGATCTCGAAGGCCTCAGGTCACAAGCCCAGAAACTCGAGAAAGAGCTCGGACGACTTGGCTTTGAGCCCGGCCAGGAAGAGCAGTTATACCAGAAGCAGTCGTCCCTACAGCAGCAGATCCGAGGTCTTCGTCAGGAGGCTGACGGCCTGAAGCGCAAGGTCGCCAACATTGACTTCAACTATGCCGACCCGACGCCCAACTTTGATAGATCAAAGGTCAAGGGTTTGGTTGCCCAGCTGTTCACACTCGACAAGCAAAACACGCAAGCCGGCACTGCGCTCGAGATCTGCGCTGGTGGTCGCCTTTACAACGTCGTGGTTGACTCCGAAGTCACTGGCACTCAACTGCTCCAAGGCGGAAAGCTCCGCAAGCGTGTCACCATCATTCCCTTGAACAAGATTGCGGCCTTCAAGGCTTCGGCTCAGGCCATCGGGGCTGCCCAAAGAATAGCACCAGGCAAGGTTGACCTGGCCCTGTCACTTGTCGGCTACGACAATGAGGTCTCCGCCGCTATGGAGTATGTCTTCGGCAACACTCTTATCTGTGCAGATGCCGAGACGGCCAAGAAGGTAACCTTCGATCCAAATGTTAGAATGAGGTCCATCACCCTTGAGGGTGATTCTTATGACCCTTCAGGTACACTTTCTGGTGGTAGCTCCCCCAATTCCAGTGGTGTGCTCGTCACGCTGCAAAAGCTTAACGAGATCACACGCCAACTCAAGGAGGCCGAGTCTTCATTGCACCAGCTTCAGCTCACCATTGCGAGTGAGAAGTCGAAACTTGACCATGCCCGTAAGATCAAGCAGGAGCTTGACCTAAAGAGCCATGAGATCAAGCTTGGTGAAGAGCAGATTAGCAGCAATTCTTCATCTTCAATCATCCAGGAGGTGCAGAATATGAAGGAAACCATTGCCCAGCTTAAGAATGATACTGCGGATGCCAAAAAGAGGCATTCCGAAGCCACTGCGGACGTTAAGCGGATTGAGAAGGACATGAAGGACTTCGACAACAACAAGGATGCCAAGCTTGTTGAGCTTCAGAAGTCATTGGATAAGCTGAGAGCTGACCTTGCTAAGAACACTGCCTCAGTCAAGGTTCTGCAGAAAGAAGTGCAAGGGGCCCAGCTCGACTCAGAGCAGGTCTCTGGCGATTTGTCTGCAGCCCGCGAACAGCAGCAAGAGGTTGAAGTGGCCATCAAGGCCCAGCAGCAGGACATTGAGGATCTTGTCAAGCAGCAAAGCACTCTGCAAGAGACTCTTGACGGTGTCCAGGCCGAGCTCGACGATGAGCGGGCCAAGCTCCATGGCTTCGATGACGAACTCCACGCACTTGAAGATGCTACCCGATCCAAGAACGCCCGCATCGCCGAGGAGAGTCTCGAGAAGCAGAAGCTTGGCCACCAGGTCGAAAGGTTCCACAAGGAGCAGCAATCGGCCGTGCAAACAGTCGCGCACATGGAGAAGGAGCACGACTGGATTGCCGACGAGAAGGAGAACTTTGGCCGTTCGGGAACGCCGTATGACTTTAAGGGTCAGAACATTGGCGAGTGCAAGTCAACGCTCCGTAACCTCACGGACCGCTTCCAGGGTATGAAGAAGAAGATCAACCCCAAAGTCATGAACATGATTGAGAGCGTTGAGAAGAAGGAGGTATCGCTCAAGCACATGATGAAGACTGTTATCCGCGACAAGCGCAAGATTGAGGAGACCATCATCAGCCTGGACGACTACAAGAAGAAGGCCCTGCAAGAGACATGGGAGAAGGTCAACGGCGACTTTGGTCAGATTTTCAATGAGCTCTTGCCCGGCAGTTTCGCCAAGTTGGACCCCCCTGAAGGCAAGACCATTAGCGACGGTCTCGAAGTCAAGGTATCCCTTGGCAAGGTGTGGAAACAGAGCTTGACTGAGCTGTCTGGTGGACAGAGGTAAGCATACTCTCAATCTTATCCACGTGGCGTCAATGAATTTGAACTAACGCGTGCATTTTAGATCTCTCATCGCCCTTTCCCTCATCATGGCCCTGCTGCAGTTCAAGCCTGCGCCCATGTACATTCTTGACGAGGTTGACGCCGCGCTGGATCTGTCCCACACGCAAAACATTGGTCGCCTGATCAAGACGCGTTTCAAGGGCTCGCAGTTCATCGTCGTCTCCCTCAAGGATGGCATGTTCCAGAACGCGAACCGCATCTTCCGGACTCGCTTCAGCGAAGGAACCAGTATGGTTCAAGCATTGACGCCCGCTGACATGAAGTAAACGTGTTTGCTCGCGTTTGCTCGTGAATGTTTCTAAAAATATGTTCCGGATCGCGACATGATGATGATGACGATGATGGGATTTTCTTCCTCTTTTCCGTTTGCCATTGGGGCCTTTCTCCCGGTTTGAAGAAGAGGCGCAAGGGTACTCGACGGGGTTTCTGGGTCGGGCTGAATTTTCTTTTCGTTGGATACCACAGCGGAGCACGCTTTCTGTCGTTTTTCTGCACTGGGTTCGGACGGGTTTGTCTCTCTCACGCAGAATAAGCCGGAACTATGGGAGTAATTGGCATGATATATAATGGAGGTTGCGAGTGCGAAAATTATGAAATCAAATTTGTCCTTTCCTGTTCTTAACCTACAACACTCTCCTCTCTCTCTGCGTGTGATTGAAGTCTATGTCTATTATGCCATTTCACACCATAACCAAGCAAGACAAAAAACCCAACCACTCTTCTCTCCTCAGCAGCACCAAATCGCCGCCACAGCCGCTGCTCGGATGTTTTTTTTTTCTGCCAGGATTAAGGTCAAGATGAAATGGCCTAGCTTTTCACTGCTTGATGTACACGTGCTCGCCGCGCTCCAGCACGGAGACGTCCATGCCGACCTCGAGCCAGGCCTGCATGTACTCGACGCGGTCGGTGCCCTCGAAGAGCGGGCACATTTGCATGCCGAGGCACCCCATGCGCGGGGCGCCCTCGTCGACGTCGCGGAGCTTGCGGAGGGACCTGTCTGGTTCGGCGCCGTGGCGGGCGCCGGTTACTGGGTCGACGTTTGGCATTTTGCAGCTTTTTTTTTCGCCAGTCGTGTTAGCCAAAAAAATGTGTTCCTTTTTTTCCAATGTTTGGGTTTTCAGGAGCATAAAGAGGGGTGAGTGAATGGGTAAAGGGGTGAGTGAGGAAGGGGTGAGAGGGGGGCCTTACCGGACGGTACGGCACGAGACTTGGAACTTTGCCGGGACGGTGACCTTTGAGGTGCCCTGGGTGAAGTTTACCCATTTCCATGATTCCTCGTCGTAGGCTGGCGTACCAGAGACTACGTTATTACAGGATTTCGTCAGTAAAGCTCTTGAGTCTAGAAATTCTGCCCACTATCGAGTCTCTAAAGAGTCTCGAGGGAGGAGGGGGGTCCATCTCATATTGCGTCAGATCGCACTTACCAATGATATTGGACCGGAACCTCCTGACGTCGAGATGCTTGAGCTCGTCGTCCTTGGGTACCTTGGCGTCAAAGTCCTGGAGACTGCTAATGTTCATGATATGAAGAGGATACTTTTTTTAACCAAGAAACGAGTTCGTTAGCCTCAAGTCAACCCCTTTTCGACTCTTATTTTCCTTTCATCCATCTCTCATCCCTCCCCAAGAAGAAAGGAACCCAAAAAAGAGGGAAAGAGGACGCAGAACAAGAAAAAGAAAGAAAACAACTCACAGCATCCTGGAATCCAACAATAGGTTGATACCCAGCCTCCTCCTTCCTCGGCGCACACCGGTACACCTCCCTCAACTGCCCCGGATCAACCCGGAACAGCGCCAACTTGTTGCTCACCCCCAAATACCGACACAGCTCCCCAGGAAGCTCCTTTTCCATATTCAGCGCCGGCACGACCTCCTTCCACACTTTGACGTCCTCGCGCGTATACCCGCGCTCCGCAATCTCCGCGTCCGTCGGGAACTCGACCGGCAACAACACCTCCATCTCCGGCTGGCCCCTCCACCCGTCCCGGATCTTGGATGCCACCCACGACATGGTACCCCGGAACCCCGGTTCCCGCCAGGGAAACCGCATCACGATCCACGCGTCGGACGACTTTTCCATAAAGACGGTGGATTTGGTCGCGTCGGGCACGTAGACGTCGACTTTGATCGTCGCGAGGAGGGGGAACTGGCGCTGCGTGACGAATTCCCAGGTGTGTTCGTCTTTCGCCTCGGCCGAGTCGTCCACGGCGGCCGGGAAGCGGGATTTGAGCTGGGCGAAAGTGTACAGCCTGTCGAATTCTAGGCCCGTGGGGAGGAGCTTGCTCCGGGTCACTTCGATGCCGCGGCATGATTTGATGGGGTAGACGCAGAGCGCCTTGACACGGGCGACGGGCCCGGTGCCGGTGCCGGCATTGGAGGTGCTCACGCCGGTGTCATCGGCCTTGGCGGAGTGCTGGTCCCGGAGGTTGCTCTTTGGCGGCGAGACGCCAATCTTGGTGTGGGTTGACCGGAGGGCGTCGCTGGTGGTGGCCGGGATCGGAGGGAAGATGTAGAGGACCGGAACGAGGAAGCAGAGGAACGTGGCGAAGGGGAGGAGGTAGAAGCCGATGCCCAGGTGTTGTGGCTCACCCAGAGCGGATGCCGAAATATTTGGGTCCATTATGATTATGCTTCTTTCTCTCTGTCTTACCAATGATCTTACTGTTGCTTGAATTCTCAATGATTGTTTGTTGTGTGCTCACTGTTTACAACAGTGTGCGGTTTCTCCCTGTGATCACTCACTCACTCACCCACTGCCTTGCTTGTAAGACGGATACGGGTGGGTTGTGATGAGAAGCGGCCGTGTGGTTGAAAGCTCCACCACCAATCTCACACACGCAATGTTTTATTTTGTCGACGATGTAATTGAGGGTTTCCAGTTCATGGTACGATATGAGCTTCACATCATCGCACCCTTTTTAGACCACGCTTCCTATTGACAGCGCGGCTGAAACTTTCCATTCATCCCTTTCGGCAGGGTCCAAGACCCCTACGGCCCGGGCGCGCGTTTGATGCTGCCATCACGTGCAGAATCAAGTGATCAATTTCCTCCAAGAGACAGTCTCTCTCTCTCTCGCTCGCTTAGTCATCCGTTCGTCCTCCAAAGAAGCTGGTCTGTGCTTGAAACGAAACTTGGTCCATTGGTCCAAGGAAACTCGGTCCCGAATCCCCCGCGCCTAATTTCAGAACCACCGTACGTGTGGGTGGTGGGCGTGGGTATTTGCAGTTCCGTGACTGGTATCTGTAGGCTCCTAGGAGCACCCACGGCCACCTCGAGACGTATAATCGTCAATTCGAAACAAAAGCAGGGGAACTGTTACGATCTTCATTGCGAAAAGCGGGATGATGCCATCAGCACGGGGGCTGCAGATGCCACGTACTGGCAGACCCTACACCCCTATCAGCCACAGCAGATGGATGACGCCAACATCCCCATCACCCTCCCACGCCTCCTTATCCATTCTTACGTCCGTATGCGTAATAACTTTAGAGGTGCTGTGACACATCTCTAGCGGCCATTAGTCTCGGCGCCTTTTGATTTTTTTTTTTCTTCAGTCTGTTTTCTGTCTCGTGCGACGAATCAACTTCATGTCTCCGGGAAGCTTCAGCACTGGGATTTGATGTCGAACAGGGAGGGGCGCACGAGATCGTCCCCCAGCCTCCAGATCCAGAAGAGCCATTACCTATGTACCTCAACAAGTCGATCTGTAGGTCTAAATCCCGTCCCTTCGGGGCGAAATGTTAAAGAGCCGACGAGGTTCGTCCGACAATTTCTGGGCGCAATGGCATCCGCAAAGTACCGATAGCTTTAGCGGCCGCTTCTAACTCGGCCGTCGTGTTAACCGACGTAGCAGGAGTGACTGTAACGCTTGGTTCGTATATCACCAAGGAAGAACGCCTCCGTCCACGAAGTGGCTTTGCGCCCGTTGTAATCTGATGGCAACGGATGAGAGTTGGGCTGTTGTCGAGTGTGAGTAAATGCCACTCGGTCTGATCGCAATGTCGCAATGGGCTGGCGAACATAGTCCGTTCCTAGCGTAGCATCCATTGGGCGTCTCCCGCATAATCCCCGAGAGGAAATCCCAAACTGGTAGCATTGCAACAGGAGAGGAAGGCAAGGTGATGTCTTTGACGCCCGTTGCGATTGGATATTCAACTCTAGAGTAGTATTCCCTCGTCGGATCGGAAAATTCGAAGGCGGGCTGTCCCTGAGACTGCGCGAAAGAACTTTGAGGCTGCATGGATCCAGTTCCATGGGATCTACAAATACGGTCTGGTATGGTCTGATCATCTTTGGTCCAGCTCTTCAATATGCCCACTGGTAGCTGCGCACAGGTCTGCTGTGGTGTATGCGATGATGTATGCGAGTACATGTGAACTGTCGCTCCAAATGATTCTTGAAGACATGTTGCTCGCCATGTCAATCTGCAGGACCGGAGGCGGAGGAGTAACAAGAGGAAGCCAATGTCACCTTGTGTATGGCTGTGTAGTAGATCGATCACGAATGCTTTTCCAATAGGAAGAGTAGTAATGGTTGCACCGATACTATGCGACCAGGGAAGCTTCGAGATATCGGCAGATCATTTGCATCGTTCCTGCGCCTCTGACCCATCTGGGACGCGCGTTGTAGGTAGGTAGTAGCCTTTGAAGAATTCGGCCCGGACGAAGAAGAGCCGCACGTCCGTCTAAAGTATGAGGTACCATATGGAAGGGGCCATTGCGATGCTCAATGCCGAGAATAATTCGTCAATCACGTCGGAAATTGACAAAGTAGGCGCATGTATCAGCATCCCATACACCGGATGGCACTTTGCCGCGAATTTCGAAGAGAAGATCAGGATGCTACTCTGATTCTGTGACTGTGGCTTTGAAGTCTGAACACATAGACCCTGACTGGGGATGAGAGAGAAGGCATCCCACAATCCGGCTGAGATCGCATGGCTGGGCAAAGACGACATCCCGGAGCGGTTGGTCCACTCAGCGCCATCCGGGGTAAGAACTTGATATCAAAGCGCACGATGAGCATGGTGGCAGATGACGAACAACCTCGCCTGGCGTTCACCGAGCAGCACGAGCTAGAATGTACAAGCCACGGGCCGCATCTTCCTCCGCATCTGCCTTCAGGTCAGCATCTCCATCTTGTAGAAAGGTACATAGCTGGTTGAGTGGGAGTAGAAACGGAGCATCTCAGGAAAACCCATCATCAAAGTCTCCTGAACATGGAACAAGAATTAGAAATTACGAGAGGCCTTTGCGCCCGTAGTAAGACATGGCTGACCCCATAACAACTGGGTATGGATGATGGCCAACGAACTGTGATTGCAAGAGGCGAGAAATGACGGTGATGGCTGTCACAGTAGGTTCGCCGTGGCTCCTACAAGTCGAGGAGGCCAGGGCCTTCTCTCCAAGACTGACGTCAGTCTGGCCTCTGTATTTTGATGTCGCTTTTAAGATGCGGCGTTTTTCTTTCCTCTCTCTTTGGATCTTCCGGGTACGCTGTGATGGTCCTCTATTGATATGCCGTCCTTGATGCTGTCGATGGCATCTGTTCCCTGTTCATAGGTAGTCGTTTATGTTGATGTCAACATGGGGCTGTAGTAGAGGCATGCTGCTAGGCTAGTCCGGTTGATTCAACCTGAAAACGCCTTCCTCATTGTGTCAGCCATCCGCTTGATCCTTTAGATAAGTTAGCCATCGGAGCATATGCCAACATGGGTTTGGTGAACATACCTACAGTCGTTTTGGTCAGCCACAACGGCAGGGCCTCTTTGCTGATCTCACTTGACGGCACTTGAAATTGCTCCAAGGCCAACGCTGGCCGCTTCTGCCTCACTGCGGAAGGGATGGGAAAGCGTACGGAGTACGTAGAGAACGAGATGAAGCCTTGAGTTCATCTGAGGACGAGCCCCCCATGCCCCCCGTCTTTGCGATCCTTCTAGGCCCTGGCTAGGCAAATTTTGGTAAGACGCCAAGCATCGTTGGCCTTTTTGTTTTCGCGCTAGATTTCTGGACGAAAGACGTTCGTGGTATGGCGAGTGGCTGCATACATGTTAACCACATGCGGGTTCGCGCTCTTTGTTCAGTTCCGTACCTCTCTCTCAAGATCGGTACAATCAAGTTTGCGTTCTTTTGTAAAGACTGATTGATTCTGCCAGTCTTATGATGGATGTTTTGCTTCCCATTACCCAATGTGGCCGATTCGGAAGAGCTACGGCGTGCTCCGAGGCTGGCAGCACTTGAGCATATTCTACCGCTTGTCGCCCTTGACGCAAAAGCCATGACTGGCACTTAGGACTCTTCTCCTGGTCCGCGGGAGTCGAGGGCGGGTCTCTTTTGATTTGTTATACCGAGCTGCTTCCCGCCTTCGGGGGTTGCTGGGATATGAGCAAGGGAGCCATTATCGCTTTCGTTCGGCGCTGTGCTTGTTTGATCACTGCGTGTAAAGCTAAACGGCTATATCAAGCCATCTTATTACTTGTGATTTGCAAACCGGATCCGCCATGTCGCGCCGCCAAATATGACTGTCTTCTGGTACTACCAGCCTTTCGCAGGCAGTTCATCCGATCGCGTCAACCTCGAAAGGGCAAGACGTTTTGATGGCACTATTGAGCAAAATAAGCCAACGGCCGTTACCGTTGACTATCTGCAGCGACCAAGATTCGGCGCGCCACAGATGGTCGGTCCAACGGCTGTTGGAGCGTTTGCACGCCATTAATTCTCGATTCTCGCAAATCCCTTGTGCCGTCCTGCAACGTTCTACCCCAACCGATAACCGCATGCCGTGTTTCCTTGTCCATGAAATCTCTCCATATCGAGGTGGGTTGGTTGTCAAATCCGTGTTGTAACTTCGCATGTAGTCCTTGTCAATTAGGCCATGCCGGATCAGGACACTGTCAGGATTTGAATAGAGAGCTTGGGGCCGTAGCTGCCGGAATGCGGGAACTATTGAGCAAGATGCTTGTGCTTCTGTGAGGAGGTCCCATTTAGGCGTATTCCCCTTTTCTACGGGTAGATGCATCCTGTCCCTGTCATGGAGTGTTGATTCACAGACGAGAAGGCCACATAGCCGGCCGCCAACATGTGATTTGTTTGAGTATCCGTATACGGGCGGCGCTTCTCGTGGTAACCTCCCAATGACAATATTGACTACTGTGTGCTGGGAGTATGTAGGGAAAAAAATCTTGGCCGTCGTTGAACGCAGTGATCAGCATCGAGGTTCCGAGGCGGCCGACATATTGAGAAACAAATCTGCAGTCGGATTCAAAACCCATGATCCCAACAAGGACCCAGAACTATGACCGCCTCCTTGGTGGGGTATGGGAAAAAGCAATGAAGGAAGAGTTGCGAGAGGCTTCAGGGCTCAGGCCTGTCGTATGCCCCCTTGTCTCGGGGCGTGCCTTGCCACGGGAAATCTGCAACCCTGCACCGGCAGCGGATGACCTAGGTCTCTAAGACGGTGAGAAAATGTGAGGTGCATCTGCTGCTTGGGACTATAAGGTACCAGATGACTGGCATCCTCGACGCTGGAACTACATACGTAGGACGTAGAGCGCTGCAAATAAAATTGCGAGACGATGGCGGTTTTGTGGCGAATCCTGCAGATTAGACCATGCATTATCT